GTTAATGGTGCCTGGAAAATCCAAACCTCTTTGAAGCTACTCACCTCTTTGAGGAGAATGAAGTCCTGAATTGTTTCAGCCTCTTAATATTAAGGGAGGCTGGGGGGGTGGAAATAAGAGAAGAGACAGAGAGAGAAAGAGAAAAACTGACACAGGACTTAGGATGACACAAATTATATTTCTGAACATCGCCAAGAAACAAAATGGGACAAATTCATCTAGTACTTGTCACTGGAACTGGGCATCACAGCTCTGAATACAATGGGAATCATTCAGCTTTGTTTAAACAAAACAGAATTAAAATAATTTTTAAAAAACACTCAAAACCCAAACATTTCTCAGGTCATTGTGGTTAAACTCAGAGACTGAATTAACAGAAGGAAAAGAGATTGCCAATACATTGCCAAAGTCGTTGCCATTCGATTCAGTTAAAGAGAAGCAATAAGCCCAGGACTGCATCTGGCAAGTTTCAAGTAAGGACCATCTATATCAAATGCAGACTAGGGACAGGATTAGCAGAATATGCTGTAAAAACAGGGGAAGGAATTATAGCCATAAGACACGTCAGAGTACAAGCTCATACAGACCACTCTTCACAGATGTAGCTTCTCCATTTAGTTTCAACAAAATCTCTGAAATGGCCTTCTAATTTCTAGTCCCCATGCATCAGCTACAGACCCCAAGCTTCACAAGGGCTGGTGGCAATCTGGGCACCATGCAGGACCCCTTCCCATCAGGTGTTTGCTGCTCAGCAATGTCTAAACCAGAGCGCGCAAGCAGAGAGGTGTCTGCATCAGTGCCAGGTGTGATGGTACCTGTGTGGCAAGGCATAACTTCCCTTTGGCAGCCCAGAGAAGAAAAGCTGTTGCTTGTTTTCCTGATATCAGCATTATCAAGCTGCACTGCGTATGATTTGCTGATGGACACATTTGTGCATCTGCTAGCTTTGCACTTTAGGCTGGTGGGAAGTGTCCTATGCTACCACCATCCTCAGAGAGCATGGGGGAGGCTGGGAAGCAGGAGGAGCTGGAGAGTGGGGCCAGATGCTGAAAGACACAGGGGCTAGTGCGTTAGAAGAGCACAGGCCTTGTCTGTGGAAGATCAGTAGATCTTCTTAGAAAGGGCTGAGAGATACCTCTGCATTCTCCAGCAAAGGACATTCGGTATTTTGGGGTATGGACTGCACAGCATCCAAAACATCTACAGTAGTGGCAGAGAGCATTCAACCTGTCTGGCACAGAGCAGGAAAAAGGGAACAGGAGAGATTCACCTGCTATTGTATTGAGCATACATGTCTTGACCTCTCACATTGTTCTCAGCCCTAAATAAAGAGGTTCTGGACCTCCTTGGAACCAAGAGGTGAGGCAATCAGTGCATCAACCCAAAATGAAAAAGATAACGTACCATTCCTCCATTCTACCCAAGTATCAACTTAGCTTTGGGCCTTTTCCCTTCAGGAGGGTGTTGCAAAACTGAACTGAGCTGACACACTGATTCCAGGCAGAATATGGAGCCCTCACACCTGCTCCAGGTCAAAAAAGAGAGACTCCTTTGACCTGGGGGTGTTGGCCTTGGCCATGGTCTTTGCACAGTGGGACAGAAAAGGGTTCTACAGCTGTGAACAAGGCTTCAAGGACAGTAGCAAAAAGATAACCAAAAAGCAGGATGAGCTCTGAGGAGCTGGAATGAAGCCTGCACAACCCCTTTTAACTGCATAACCTTATCAGCCAAGAAGCGTGAAGGTGGTAAAGCAGACAGCTGAGGAATGCCCATGGAAAGCAGCGCAGAGTATGCAAGAGCCTGCCTGGAACAATACATTCATCTTTACCATGGGACCTTTCCCTAATTCTATCTAATAAAGTTATATTACTGACATTGCTAAGATAAAAGTAATGCCTTATTTCTTTCTTATTAGTTGGGCAAATGACAATTCCCACCGCATTGGATTAGGTCCAAATTGAAGTAGCATCATAAATCTATAATCATAAATCTGTGACCAAACCAAGACCAACAGAGCAAGAATGTCTTTCAAAGCCAGGCTACAAAACCAGTCAATGGCAGTGGGTGAGAGATGCTTTTATTGTTCACCCAGCAAAACAATAAGTGGATAATTATTAGATGGGGAATCTGGCTTTGCTGGGCAAAATCAATCCCTGAAATGTGTCCAGTGTACCTGTCAGTGGAGCAGAACTGGGCAATAGGCTTCTTTGGGTTCTCATCAGTGGATAATGCATTCACCAAAACATGCAGTTTAGGATTAACTGAAATCAATCATCAGATTAAGAAAAAAAGGCAAAGGCAAAAAGACTATTTACATTAAACCATTTTTCTTTCAGCAACTTCAAAACAGAAAGTTTCACATTTTTGCTTCAAAGCAACTTGTTATAGCCCAAGTAATAATGTTTTTTAAAAAAGTGAAAAAGCAGACCTACAAATGAAATGCTTCGTTCTGGTTTGAAAGGATTTATCTTTCATGTTTCAACTTTTCCCTTTTCCATTTCAGTGAGAAAATGAAAGAAAAAAAAAGTTGTCTCGGGTCACTCTGACAACTTCAGGTCACCCTTACAGTGTTTTTCCCCAGATTTTTCAGTTTTGCCTGCAAACCGAAAAACCACTGTGGGCACAGCCTACTCAGGAGTTTACTGTCCTTCTTCCTATTTGAATCAGTCCTAAGCCAAAGAAAATGGGAAGTTCATTTCACCAGGTAATACCAACCAGAACCAAGGTATTTAGCAGGTGTGAAAATACTGAAAATGAGAGGAGTTGTGGCTGTTTACAATGGGCTGAACATGACCCAGGAGATAAGAGATCTCCTGGCTCCAAAAAAACATTACCATCTACAAGCTTCCTGCTATGCCACCCTACTCTCATATAAGGCAATATATAAACTGTGGGTCCCATCCTGCATTTTCAGAACTTGACTGAGATGGGCTGACACCACTTACACATGAGCAATGCAAGATCCAGGTAACCCACCCTACCTGCTCTAAGCAAGGGGTTTGGGGGCTGGGATTTTGGGGTTGGGGGGAAGCAAATGGAGAGAGACGCATCATCCTCCCCACTAGCGATATTTGAGCATCACTCGCGTGACCTGAAAACAACATCCCTTTTTTGCAGAGCGTTACCACGTCTGCGGGGACAATACAGTACTGGATAGTTGCTTTGCAAGCTCAATAAAATGAAAAGGCCTTACAAGGATTTTTGTTGGGACAGTCATCTGGTTCAAACACAGCAGAGGACAACAACAACAAAAACAGCAAAAACCCCACAATAAATTAGGTATCAGCACAGCTTTCTAAATGCTCTAGAACAATTACTTGCAAGACAAAAAAATCACAGCTCTGGTACTTAGAATCTTGTAATTAAAAAAAAAACCAACAATAAACGACAGGTTTTGCATAAAAATAAACATTTTAAGCTGACAGCATTATGTTAATTGGGTCAACCCGCTTTTTAATATAGATATTTCTATGTATATTTAAATGTATATTTTTCTATGAATATTCTTTAAAGGAGTAATGGGAGTCACAAATGCATAAAAATAGATATTTTGGGGAAAGAAAAGAGTAATAATAAGGACAAGTCCAATGAAAAAGGAAAAAAAAACCTCAAATAGGGCAGTATTCTAAAGCAATGGCTCACCATACGGTAACTTGTGGAATCCAGTCCTTTTGTATTGTGAGCAATTACTCCTAAATACTATGGGGTTTTGTAACAGTCCTGCATGTTTATTAAAAAAAAGGCGGCAGGGGAAGGGATTTGGGTACATAGGACAGATTCTGATGTCTGTTACACTGCTGTAAATAACCAGCACAGATCATCACCCAAGCAGGAGGAACTCCACCACTTTTTGCATTTACAAGAACACAGTTTCTGATCAAAATCTGATCCTTCCCTGTGAGCTGAAATAAAAATAACAAAACTCTTCACTTTTGCCCTACAATGTTTGTTCTGTTGTCCTACAAATAATCAAAACAGATTGGAAAAGGTGGGATTTTTCAGTAGTGTGTGTCAACATTCTGTGCATTTTTGACAAAAGCCAACTCCTAACAGTTAGGAATAGTATTTCAGAGAGTGATCCTGTCCCTTTACAGCAGGAGGTAACCTCACTGTTAAAAATCCCTTCACGGCAAAAAAACTGGGGGCAGGGGAAGCCACAAAAAATGATCATAGCCCGATCTGCTTGCCAGCTGCATCAGCATTCAAGTAAAGTTTAAAGTACCTTTGTGGGACTTTAGAGTCTTGGAGGGTCAGACTGGCTTATTTTAACAAGTGTAATATGCACTTTGAAACAGCCTCGTCATTTGCTTGTTTAAACTAAAAAATAAAACTCAAAAACAAACAGGAGCAAAGGAAAGGTAAAGGAAAGGTCTCAGCATCAGTATTAGACTGCAGAGTGTCTCCTTGACACTGACACTTTCATATTCTTGCTTTCCTTCCTAATGCATTAAAATATCACGAAGACATGCAGCCATTTTAAATGAGTATTTCAAGAGTCCAGTTTTTGTAGAGGTTAACTTGATCACCAGCACAGCACTGGAGAAAGCTGATCTAACAATATTTCATATACAGAACTCTCCAAAGGAAAATAAGAAATACAGTTCCACAAATAACAATGCCAATTAAAAACACAGAAAGCAAATTGTTTCTTTCTCGGTGTTTTTTCGTAAACATTCTTTCAGAAAAAAATAATTTCTTCCCTTATCTCTTTCTTTACAAGCAAATTTTCTAACCGGCCAGATTTTAGAGCTATCTTCCATCTACATGAATTTAAGCTTTTCTGAAACCATCTACAGGGTTTTGGGGGCAGAGGATTCACTCTCCTAAATTTTAGGGCCATCTAAATGGCATCCACTTCTTTTGTCTTGTTTCTCCTCTTGAATTTGTCCATTCCCCTTAGGACAGGCCAATAATACTGCCATAATTTAGATGTCTGCATTTGAAGGAACTTTGGACTGAGCACAGCTTCACACATTTCATCTTCTCCATGCCCTTTCCACGTAGTTTCTTTTATCTTTACATATACAAAATCACAGTTTGTGTAACATTGTTTTAAAGGAAGAAAATAAAATACACACACGCACACACACACGTACATTGTATTGGTGAACACTATACACTAAATATTTTTTCCAACAGCATAACAGAAAGTTTGGCCAACTGTAGGTTGAACACGTAGGGAAGGCTGAATTTTTATGGTTGCCATGCAAGCCACCTTCAAGATAAAACAGATGAACCCACCCAAGAGCAAATGCAGCTCCTACTCTCAAGCCATTCGAAAAATACTGCCTTTCCAGGGATCAGACTGACATCTCACCAATGCAGCCAATGCAGTATTCAGAGAACCACACCGAGCTGCTTCTGCATCAGCCCTCTGAATCCAAATGCTGTTAAAACCAAAGGGGGAAGAGGGTATTTGACTTGCCTTATTTATTATTAATATGTATATGTTTTGATAACACTTTGAACTTTAATTTACTTCTGAAACCTTGCCCTTTGAGAAGAACACACCCTTTAAGTCGACTTTTTTTCAGGCTTCTGTTCCTTTAAAATTCACTCTTCTTTTCATTTTGCTGTTCTTTTACATTTATCTCTTGCTTTCTTCCAGCAGAAATGTGGCTGGTGGACTTGGTCTTTCACTGCACCCGCTCTGTGAAATTCTCGGGGAAAACCCCTCGGCATTGGTCAAGTTCCTTATGCTGGATCCAGTCAGACTCCTTCACGCCCATCAGCCATCCTTCGTCCTGGGGGAGAAGACAGAGATCAGATGCTGAGGGATAGATGCGAGCAGGGATTTTTCTTACAGAGTGCAGGCCAAGGAGGTGCCAAGGCATTATCAAAGCCATGCTCATAGTTGGCTTGGAGACAATCCACAAAGAGGATGGGGGAGAAGGCAAAAAATGCTTTCACTCCCTTTTGAACAGGGAGAAGGCCACATCCCACCAGACTCAGTACCAAAACTCCTATCTGACCCAGACTGCCAAGAGACAGTGAAACTGTAAACAATTAACAAGCGTATTAGAGCCTGTCATAACTGACACCCAGTAAAGCGGGAGAAATTATACCAAAGTGTCTAGAGCTACAGGATGGGAACCACCTACCAGACCTTTCACTGTCTCAGCATGAGGCATCTAGCATTTTCCATAGCCAGAAAAGAGACAGGCATCTCCATAGTGTAATTCACCCATTCATCTTGGGCACAGGTCTTTGGAAAGGATGAATCATTCCTTGGAGGTGCTCAAGCTCTGGTCTGGTCACGGCATCTGGGTGATTAGCACTTTAGAGAGCTGACACAGGCAAAATGGATCTTGTTTGCTATGCTGAAAATCTGGTCTATGAGAACTGGGAGCTGAGGAGCTCTACCCATATTCCCAAAACCTCACAGTCTTGATGTATGACATGGTTGCCAAAACTCCACTAACTGTGCTACACACAATATAAGACTTGAGGGCTCTCACAAGGGTCCTCCCTAGCCACCAAACCTAATAGATCTATAAACAGGGATGCAAAAGGACTCCTGCCTGGTACAGCCTGCTCAGGAGGAGAACCAGACCTCCTGCCCTCTCCCTGCTCTCTGCAAGGTGCCCAGCATCAAGATTTGTGCTCCATCTGAAGCACATGAGGGAAACAAGATATTCAAGCTGTGAAAGCTGCACTTCTTGCTGCTCAAATGTGTAGCTACTCTATTTGTTGTATGCCTTGGAGTTGCCACCATGGAAGCAACCCTTCAACATGCAGATGTGCCCACTCATATGCAGTGGGACAGCCTATGGGTTAGGATCGCAGCATGAGGCAAGGGAACTGCACAGGGGATCACCACATTCAAACTTAACAGCTTGCTCTGCATCCACCGCTCTGGATGAGCATGCATCAGGCTCATGTAGAGCTATGTCATCACATCCAGCTACATAACTTGCCAGGGCAGAAATGCACAGGCAACCAGATCCTCTAAGCTGTGGGGAAATGAGGCATGCATATGTGCAGTTCACATCGTTGTTCGGACACTTCTCCTTTCCTGGAACTGGCAAGATTTACCCGGGTATTTGACCAACGTCAAGCAATGCCTCCCTTGAAATTTGTTCTTTAAAAATATAGATGCACAGCGCAGGAGTGATGCCGTCCTCGTCAGGAGTGATCCATGGGGTACGTATTGTTCTCTACTGCTATGTTGCAGCTTCTGTCCTCTTATCCCATTTTCTGCCCACTCCATGTGGCAGCAGCTCAGACCAGTCACTGTATCTGAGTTCCTGCTCCTCGCAGGCTGAACTGAGTGCCTGCCGGCTCAGGTAGCCCTTGCTGCTGTCTGAGATTTGAGCATTCAGGAGACGTCATGGGGATGGCATGAGACAGGAGCCCATCTGCAGCAGCCAGCTGCAGGGGCTGCGGAGGACTGGCATGCTATAAATCAGGAAGATAAATGACCAGGCAGAAGATTCTGGGACCAAGTGTCTGGAAGGCAGCTTCCAGCTCACAGCATGGCAAGCAGAAAAGCTCATCAATTTGTATATAGCGCCTGTGCCATACAGCATGCATCACTTCCACTGCATCCTGCTACGAAGGGTCTCCCCAGCCACAGAGATTAGACAGGAAGGCTCAGATCGACCCTTGCCAGTTTTGAACCATGCCACTTGAAACGCCAGCTTAGAAGTGGTGTTGGCCTCAACCCCTTCTTCTATCAAGAGAGATGAACCCAGGCCTGGCTGATGTACCCACAAACTGGCACCTAAGCTGCAAGATGGGGACATGGATCACGGTTTGTTATCCTGAGCTTCCTCCACTCACGTGCACAGTTCATGCACATGTTAACAGCCAACATTTTCTGGCTAGGTATGACCGAGGTTAGGAAAATGAGCTGTAGCACAGGATACACTGTAGAAGGGTTAGAGGGCTTCAGTGCAGCTACAGCATCATGTTAGCAACACTCAGAGCTCACCCTCTGCAGCTTGGAGAGTCTCGAGTTCATGGCTGTTGCACCCACATCCAGCTAGAGTGCAAACATAGGGCATTGAAAAACTCTGCTACACAAATGCCACCTCCTACCACAGAAACTAGGGGAGCTGCCACTCATTTCCAAGCTTTCTGGAAAAAAAATGCTCACAAATGCTTGTGCAGGGCAGTCCCAGTTGGAGTCTTGTCTCCATAAGGAATTGCTGCCTCTTCCCCATACAACCCTTCTCCCCCAGAACTCCTAGCTCCACAGGAACTGCTGGCACATTGTAGTTCCCATTTCACAGGCAAGACCTGCCTCCATAATTCACAAAGCCAACAGCTGAGCCACAAAGACAATCTATATCTTCAGTGGCCAGTGAACTATATCACCTTGCCTTTTCCCCTTGTGGAATCCACATCTTATCTGGGTTTGACAGAAATCTCACCCAAAGAGCTGGTGACTACTGAATCAAATTTGGAGAACTCCCTTCCTTTTCAAAACAAAAATCTGGAGACATGAGCATTAATTTTATAAAATCACCACATCCCTCAGGCAAAGTAGTAAAACTGATGCAGAATTTATCAGCTGGAAGTCCTCAAACACAGTGAGGAGGATTTACTCAAAGCTCCTAGAAACAGCTCAGATTAAAGGAAAACATCGCCAATTAAATTCAGGTTGGAGATGGACAGTAACACTGTCCTCTGGGGCTGAGCAACCGGCTCCAGTCTTTGGTTCTGCTGCCACCTCCTGACCAAACACTGCCTTTTGGAAATAGGCATTGCTATGCTGACGTGCAAGACATCATCTACTGCAAGCTGCTTTCTCAGAGCTCCAGAATTTCTCAGAAGGGGAGAAAAAAATCATCATAAGCTGTGGGTCACTCCTGCCAATGCCACAGTCTGCACTGCAGTGGTCACAGGGAATGTGTTTCGAGTTTAGGAGCAGTGAGAAGGCAAAGTACGGGCTCCCGGATCAAGGAAGCCACCACATTGGCTCAAATGCCCTGGTAGGGACAGGAAGCCATGGCTATTTCACATGCTTTATGCAGGATAATGTCTCTACTTCCCAAACACAAGCAGAGTCCTCCTCTGTTGCAGGAAGCCACTCTCAAGCTCAAGTACAACCGGCTCTCCTGCCAGATCCCAGCCACAAACTGATGGCTCTGCATCCAGCCAGCGACTGTTAGTGGAGGAAGAAGCAGCTCTGGATGCCCCCTTGGCTCCTCTCAGCCCAGGCTCACACCATCATCCACACTCACCTGCTCCTCAGGGTTCTCAAATGGAATCACAAGCACCACATCCCCAGCCTTCAGCTGCAGCTCGTCGCTGTCGGTGGCTGTGTAATCATGCATGGCCTGGACCTATGGGGAAAGGAGAGCTTGCGTGAGGCCAGCCTTCTCTCACTCAGCTCTGCAACAGGTTACAAGGCTTTCCACTTCATTGATTCACTGGATGATTCCGGTCAGAAGGCATCTTTGGAGGCCATCTAATCCAACCTGCTGCTCAAAGCAGGGTGAGCTTGGATCACAAACACCACA